ATCAGGGAAGCTGGGAGGAGGAGGAGGAGGAGGAGGGGTTGATGATGGGATGGAGGGGAGGGGGGGGGGCGCTGACGGCAGATGCCTTTGCAGCAGAGGAGCAAGGAGGATGTTAGGGTGTTTGTGGTGCTGCGGGACAAAATGCGGATAGGAGTGAGGTCTAACCTGCCGGTGGATGTAGCTGTTGCAAGAGGAGGGATCTTGTGAGCGAGGACGCCGACCATCCGAACCGCAGTGCCAGGAGGACATTCCCAACTAGTTCAAATAAGATGGATGGGACAACTTGAGTGGTGCACTTCTGCAGGACTGCCTCACTCCTGAAGAAAATGTAGCTACCAGGCTGCTGTCAGCCTTTTCCTAAATGAAACAACTGGGATATTCTGCTGAGATTGATCACCCACAACCTTGGTAACGATGGAAAGTGGAGTTTTTCTTCCCTGCCTGGATCAATTCATGCTGAGCCCACTTGTCACTTGGGTAAGTAATGCAGGAAGCTCTGATTTTCGGCCAGGCGCTGTGACATCAAACCTCTCACCCTGTGTTCTTCCTTGTTATTTAGGTGAAGACGTTCTTGCCACATGATGGGGGCATACACTTTTCTGAATTACTGGATGGAGTCTTCCTGAATGACATAATGACGCAAATGTAAGTCACTTCATGCCAGCTTTGTTCTTGCAGCTTATATTTCATTTGTCACATTCATAATCTGGGTTATGAGCAGTGCCCAGACGGATATTCAGATTAGTAGCCTGTGTTTTGAAGCTGCCGGCTGCCGTAGACTTCATACAGCATCTGCCATTAAGTTTTACTGTGAGGTTTAAAGGGAAAAACTCAGGTGAAATGTCAGTGCATGCACATCATAATCTTTTTTTTAAGAATTAGGTATCCCCCCCCCCCCCTTGTGCCATCTATAGCAGCTACTGATACAGTATCAAGCGTCTCCTAACATTCTTATCCGGGCACCAACAGTACTGGCTTTGTCACTCTGCAGTAATAAAAGGGATCTTTGTAGTCTGCAGCAGTCTTTAAATGCAACTTCCTCATTACTTACAGGTTAGTGTTTCTCAAAAAGAAAATGTTAAAATTAGCATGAACGTTACACCTACTCAACACTGAGGGACACCACAGAGAAGAAAATGACTACAAATGGATCAGATCTGCCAAGACATGAGGGACATCATAGATACTGTCAAGTCGCTACTTAAGAGATTATGATTTGGGTGCCTTATGTTCTGAGGGAATTACCCTCACCCATAAAAAACACTAACTTATGTTCCTCTGGCAGTTGTGTGAAGGATGTCTGCAAACTAACACTTACTTTAGCCTCCCTGTCAGGATGAAATGGCACGTCACGGTAGAGTACTAACTGAAACTGAAGCGTTGCAAAGAAGAGGGTAAAAAACTGATGACCCAATGCACTTGTGGATAATGCTGTCTAGCCAACCCCAAGTCTACAGTATGCATTCATCCCACTTATCCCCCGGAGTCACAATAACCAGCTCTAAATGCAAAACAATGCTGCGACGAGGGGAGGGGAAGAGGCGGGATAATCTCCTGGATTGGGAGACCCTCTGGGATTAGGGCCTTGTTGCTGGTGTTTAGCGGCACTGGGACACAGATGGGAGGGAGGAGGAGGCACAAAAACAGGACAAACAGCACAGAGATAGAGACCTGTGGACTGGTGCTGGGCAGCTAGGCAGCGTCTCTCTGTCTGTCGTCCATTACGTCTTTATGTCTGTCTCTATCTTTCTTCACAGTTGTAAATTTAATTTTACACAACAGCTTTCCTTTCCTGGGCAACAAGGTGTGAGTCTGACCAAAATAGGTCAGACTCACACCTTGTTGCCCCACTGCACAAAGCTCCATTATAACAAGTCAGCTGTAATGTATGACAGTACAACTCAAGAATACAGTAGACCCGTGCCAACAGCCAAAGAATCCAGCTAAAGGGTTTCCTTTCGGGCGGACCACCCCGTTTGGCTCGCAAACAGCCCAGTTTGTTGGATGAAAGGAATGACGTCACCCAGGCTAAAGTTAGGAATGAATAGAGACCTCATACATGTTTTCATGGCGATTCTTGAGCCAAGACTTGTACCAGCTCGCAGTTTCCTCTCACTCCACTCCGCTGACAACCATTTGTTTGTTTGTGATTAGCAGAAGTGTCAAGTAAAACACCTTTATGTTTTGTCCCATCGTCAGAAATCCCTCAGCCACACCTCAGGGTGCAAACAAAGTGAGCAGGGATCCAAGTCAGAGGATCCAGAACCTGAACTTCCTTGTCCAGCAAATCAAGACGTATTATCTGGTGAGTTTTGTTTCTCAGCCATATAATATGTAACGTATCAGAGCCTCGTGCTGCTTAGCTTTCCATCTCTCTACATCGGATTACAATATCTGAACATTTCATTTGGATTTTTACCTCAATTTGCATCATCCATCACGCACACAGTGGCTCGCACATGCGCAGACCAGGTTGTTGGTAGCACTTGTGTCCCAGCAGATCAACTAGTTCTTCTTAAGATGCATGCCCTACATATCCACCATGTACACATCTGTGTAATCAGCACAGCAGCGAGCCACAGTAAGTAAAGCTGCGGTCAGAGCCACAGACAGACAGAGCTTTAGTGTGACACATAAAGTCACAAGATGGGGCAGACACCACTGATGTTGTATCCTGGATTTTCTGACTGTGTCAGCGTGATTAAGGACGATTCAAGCTCAGCTTTCTTCCGTTAAGATCTGTTAAGATCACAAGAAAAGTCATTTCATTGAGGACGGGACAATCGAGTTCTTAAGATTAGCAATGCAAAGGAGTGATGGGTTTATATATTGCTTTGTTTTCCACAGATCAACAGTATCATCAATAGCTTATCTAATTATTGTTTCTAATGTAGTTGCACTTGGTAAACTCAAACGTCAAAATTAATTTATGCTTGCTTCTTTGCTCATATTTAAAGAATTCTTAATCAAGTATACTTTTAGTTAAAGTAAGTGTACTACTTATACATCCTCTCAAAACCAGTCAGTTGAACTATCCTTAAAGGGTCATGGTGGCAGTCACTGGAAAATGGGACTGTTGGATGAGGGCGGACTATAGTACATCAAAGACTAAATGACTCCAGTCAATAGCTTTCCTTGCAAATGGGAATTAGTAATAGTTTCCTGAACTTACAGGGTCACTTATCCTCATTAGGAGCTATTAACAATCACCGTTACCCTCCACACACACCACCATACATACTGTACACACAAACGCAAACCACTTGTATCCTGATACAAGGCTGTACCAAACAGTTTTGGTGGATTTCCCCACTGCGCCAAGGAAACTGGCTCTGTCACCTACCCATTCAGAGCACTCCTCCATTTGTTGGCTATGTTTCTATACATGTGTTTAGGCAGCTGCTATGTGCTGTACATACATACGTCCCTGTCCATTCAAGCACTTTGGCTAGACCTTAAGATGTGTTGTATTGTGCCTTTGTTTCACTTTGGCCTAAAATGCGCTTATCTTCCCTTTTCTCGACCCGTCTCCCTCATCCCTCTGTTTCTCTTTTCTTTGCAGGATAATCTGAGACAATTGATCATGATTCCTTTGCCAAACGTGCTGCTGCTTGGCAGGACTCCTTACTGTGGTATGCTCTTTTAAAAGAACCTCATCTGAAAGTATTCCTCATCTCTCCTCTCTATTGGAGCTGCTAAGTCAGTATGTGGTTGGAAGCATGATTAGTCTGTTTGCTGAGAATCAATGAACTCTGCATTGATTTCCCCATAATTTAGCTAAGATTAGGACATGTGTAATATAGACTTTGTGTCCCTTTTCTGGCTGGTTGAGTTAAAAGATCAAAGAGAGAATTGCAAAATGATTTATGCAATTTATTATTTATTTGAAAAGATATTAAAATAAGCCTGTCAATGAAACTGAACTACTAGTATTAATATAATTGTTAACTGCATTTTTAAAATGGCAACAATGCAAAACAAGTAATGATCTTTGTTTCTAAATAGTGAACAATGAAAATTAGTTAGCATTTTTCCCGAAGCCTTCCCAGCACTGAAAATGGTTACAGTATTTCCTTGCAGACAGACTGCTTTCGCTTGTTCTGTTTTAATTCAATTGCACTCTATCAGTCTGATAACCACAGTGGCTTGTGATGGTGAGGCTTTGGCAAGTGGTGACCCAAATTCACCAGCTCGTACTCGTTTCAACTTAAATCCATGCCAGCAGCCCTCACTGCTTCAATCTGATAAGTTTTCTTCAGATAATGAACTTTTTTTTTTACTCCCCACAGAACAAAGTCTGGAGGAAATGAAGAAACTTTTGCTGCTGCTGTTGGGATGTGCAGTTCAGGTAAACGCTGACTATGGTCATTTGCATGCTGAAAAACCTAAAACAGACTGCATGAGCTGTGGAGATTTAAATCTGTTCACATTTTATGTTCAGTGCGAGAAGAAAGAGGAGTACATCGAGAGGATCCAGACCCTTGACTTTGACACCAAAGCTGCCATAGCTGCACATATTCAGGAGGTACCTGGCTTTATATGACATGAGCTTTAAAATGCCACATCATTGCGTATAGTCAAGCTTGAGTCTGGGACAAATAAAGAATACTTTAGATACACTAGGTTTCACAGGCACTACGTATTCTTTCCCATTGTATTGAATGACTGTCCCTCCCCATGCTTACCAGTTAACCCACAATCAGGAGAACGTGCTGGATCTGCAGTGGTTGGAGTCCAGCGAGCTGCACCCAGATGAGCTGGAGGCCGCAGCGAGGAACATGGCCACGCACCTCCGACATCTGCTGGACCAGAGGAATACGCAGCTAGAGGTACATAAAATTTTATTTCATCATTTATTCTGATTGTTTGAGAGATACATATTAACTGCATGTATTATGTGAATTTGGAAATTTATCCGAACATCTACACAAAGTTGTATTTTTTGGTATAAAGTGTGCATAATAAGACTTGAAAACTGTTTCATTTTTTACAATTCTACTCTGAGTGTGCAGATTTTAAGAGATACATTAGGTACAGAGTCATGTGCTAAAGGTAATCTGTATGTGTCTTTTTTGTAGACTATAGCAGAGCTAATGCAGGAAAAGGAGGGTGTGGTTAGCTTGCTTAATAGCCCCTCCAGCCCGCAGTCCGCCAGCTACTCTCCCAGCTTGCAGCAGCAACAAGCGGGGACTCAGCAACACCTGGCGGTGGAGCTGGCTGACTCTAAGGCCAAGATCAGACGACTTAGACAAGAACTGTGAGTACCAAGTGGACAGACAGACCAAATAGTTTTATTTTATTTACAAAGTATTTAAAATATAAAGGGGTTAAACATAAAAGCATGAGGGGGAAAACTGTATAAAACCTTCCTTGTGACTAAAAGGTTAACATATAGTTTACACTATCAGGAGCAACCATTTTAAATTCATCTTACAGCAAACATGCCAATGCAAAGGAAAACTGGAAAACACACCCAGTGGTGGAAGTTGTCCATTCCCACAGCAAGCGATTGTTGGGTTTAATACTGTTGTTTTAGTATAGTATGAGTTTCTATTCAGGGTGGCTGTTGGTAAAGAGTTAGCTTTTACTCTGGGGAACTGCCAATAGAGAGTGAATGAGAGGCAGAGAGAGAGAAAGAGAGAGAGACATAGTAGAGATGCCCTGGGGAGTTTGGCCCATATTACCGCCTGCTTGGCAGGTTCCATGGCTGTGCACTACCACTGACCCACATTTCCTCTGAATTTCAGCGGATACTGCATGCACAGGCACACACACACACACACACACAAACCCTGATCCGATCAAGACCTCAGTTCCATCTTTCCATCTTCTCTGCTATATTGTCCTCTCTTGTTGGGATGCTCAGATTCACATACTGCTGCCTCTGAGCAAACACAATGTCGCTTAAAGCATCATGTATGGTGGGACTTTGAACTTCTCAATCACCCTGGCTTTTCAGTTTGTTCATATGCATTGATATATCTGATCCTGCATGCATCTGTTTCTCGACAACATGTGGGAGATGAAAACAAAATGGGGTTACGCAGCTTAATGTTGGAAGCTTTATACTATGTGTGTGCAGTGCAAGTTTGTAGCAAAATTAATAATCTACTACATTAAATTATAATTGATTAAATCTGTTCTCTTGCAGTAATGATTGAAAAGGGGAATGTGTGTGTTCTCACAAATATATTTTGCCATTTGCAGCATTTAAATATATATAAAAGTATTACAGAAAAGTAGTAAGTAGTGTACACTAACCAGCCTGCCTGACTGTCTCTCTGCACTGCATATCTGACCGCTACCAGAGAGGAGAAGAGTGAGCAGATGCTGGACTGCAGACATGAGCTGGAGAACATGGAGGCAGAGCTGAAGAGGATCCAGCAGGAGGTTTGAAGAATAGCAAAATAGATTGCAACTCCTTCTGATAGTCACACATAGTAAACCCCTGCCGCTCTGCAGATTATACAGATTATTGCACACCATACTTTGCTGCATAGCAGCGCTTAATGGCAACAAATTTAAACCTCTGAACTCTGACTTTCTGTTTAAGCTTTGTGGCTTAGGTTGGCTGTGTTAGTTAGCATGGTTCATATGTTTCCAACAACCAAACTGGAAATGAAAGTAGTATTCATTGTATTATGGCCACTTTGAGGCAGCAGAAAGAGCTAACACATTGCAACATTGCAGCTTTGCTAGCACATTCGACATGTCATCGTATAAAGTTTATATATGTTACGTGCTAGCAAAGGCTGCCCTATTTACACATCCAGAGGCACAAGCAACACTTAGCATTCGTAATGAGTCATGTCTGTGTACCGATGGAATGTAAAATCAATATTCCACTTTCCTTCAGTTACAATTGATAGTCTCACCAACATCTTAGGGAAAAATATCTGGGCAATCGTCTTCTACCAACAAAAACACACCCACGAGACGGAGAAGAAAGAAAAGAAGAGAGGAGAAGCATATGCGACAGGACATATTTTCAGAAACAGCATTGGATAGGTAGTGGTTCACGAGAAGAACTTTGTTATCAAAGCTGGTTGAGAGGAACTGCTAGAAAGTGTGACAACAGAGAGAATCAACTTGTGATGGATTTACAGTTGCGATCCTCGCGAGACACAGACTAGGTTCTGTCTCAAGTACGAACATGCTAACAAGAGTGAATAACAGTATAACGTTCCAGGTGCGAGCAGTGTCATTCCGTCAGAAGATGAAAAAGCTCCATTCCTCAAGTACTGGTTTGTTGCCATTTCCAAATGATGGGACTAATTAGCTAGGTAGTTATATTAAGTAGTATTCACAATGTAAAAACTGCAAAAGATGCGTGAACAAAAGATTGTAAGAAAAATAATAACAGCTAAAGCATAAGCCTTGCACGCAAGAAATCGACTTCATTGCACTTTATTGTGTTCTTGGAATTCCCTTATACCATTATTCCTGCTGCCTGAGATTGATCTCTAAAAAACTACAAAGCACACAATAAAAAGATGGCTGATTGAAATGCAGAAAATAAGAAATTGCATCAGGATTCGCTGGAGGAAAAGAAAAACCCTATTACTTAATTATTCAATATTTGCCATACGTAAGTTAGGCTCCAGTACAGATCTATTTGGTATACCATCTCGTGAAATTCTATGCACTTAGTGTATGAACTGTTCATGTTAAACTGCCCGTAGACTACTGGCGTACTCATGGCAATCCCCTCTATAATGTTCGACTTAGATGTTAATAAAGCTACATTAAATGAACAAAGAGAGATCCCTCCAAAAGCTGTTATTAGTTGATAATTTTGAGTGTTTATTATTTTAGACTGAGCGACAAATATCAAGCCGATGCCTTATGCAGCAAATTGAGTTGATGACCTCTTTGGTTGTCTCATCAAATATGTCCCTAAAATCTTGTCTCTATTAGACAATCCTGACGGTCATTATTACGCTAAATCCACATCCGTTTAAAAAGCAGAATACCAAACCACAATAAGAAGAGAGAAGAGATCCCCCCGGCAATAAAAATAAGAACTAATCTTATGTAACTTGTTGGGTTACTTGTTAAGCGAAGGTCTAAAAAAAATCAAGAAGAGGAATCAGGGTTAGTTTGTACTTATCTTGCATCTACATGTGCCTAAAAATTAATACATTAAGGGTCCCCAAGCTGTAACAATGCTTCACTACTCCACAAGCCTCTTAGCGCCCTCTCTCTGACCAAAGACTACCCTGCTATGCCTGGTGTCCACCACCTATAATCAACGTCCCTTGCCATTCGAGTAAGGTGTACATCACAAAACTAATGAAAGCTGAATGAAAATACATTTACACATGTCTTTCTGGTGTTTTTCCTCCATGCCATTATATCTTCCCAAAACACTACTGCTTTTTGAACTATTGGCTTTTAAACATTTAACAATAGAAAACAACAATGAAGTGAAGGAATTGTCACTGTGGTGCTGCACAGCATCAAGAAATACGATAATATTACATATTTGAGAACAGACTCAAGAATCCTGTCCTCGCAGTAAAAATGGCCTCGCTACATTTATTCTGAATACCCCCACACACCTCTTTCTGTGGAAAAAGTCCCATCTCATCATTCCATAGTAAGTCGTGGTGCATAGATTTAAATAGGGAGTGCGGCTAGAGAGGACATCTGTTCAAGATCTCTCCATGTGTTAAATGTATTTGTCCGTAATAACAAGTGTAACAGTCACAAGTAAGATAATACGTCCTCTAATCTCCATTCTGTAGTCTGCGAGAAATCTCAACACCTGGGCTGATATTAATATAAACCATACTTTTTATACATCATACTGATAAAATACCTGCCAAATAGCTAATGATATATTCAAATTTGGGTGACGCCTAGTGAGAAACAACACAACAACCAACACTAGAACAGAAGCACAAATTAGGTATCTGCTCAATTCGGCAATAACATTATGATACAGCTCTGTAATTAGTAAGTATGTGACTCATGATCCAAATTCACAATTTATCAGATTTTTACTGTAGTTACTTACATATTATTAAATGTTTGCTAAACAACACTGCTTGCAATCTGTAATCAAATACAATAGGCAAATCAACTTACAACAACGACTAAGTATACAAAATGAAAAGACAAAAAACAAAAGACACAATTACACAACCACATAACGTGACTGCGAATTCCTCTCACTAACAAAGAGAGATCTTAGTGTTATTCAAATCTCCCTCACCTGTATTTCAATTATGTATCATCGTTACGAGAAAAATCAGTATGTCAATTACATGCGGCCAGGAATCCGGAACAGACTGTATACCTATGTGGATCAAAAATATGCAGATTTCGCTAGAAGTCACTGGAGGCAAGATGACCGAATGTGCGCGTCTAAGAGCACAGCAACGGAGGAGGAGAAGTACCAAAAAACGAGATATCACACCAACCCAATGATGCTTTAAGCCGATCAAAGTGCTTCTGTAGGCATGAAGCATCTAGGCAGCTAGTTTTACCACAGAGTAAAGATCGTAGCGCTGGCCATGTTACCCAAAAACAAAGTAAAGGTGTTATACATAAAAGTTAACTTAACGCAATGTACTCTTGTGGTCAAAATCACCGGCCATGTTGAAGAATGGTAGGTTAGTTGGTTGTTATCTTGGCATACGTTTCCTTGAATTTGCTCCTGTGGTCACTATGTGAGTTGATCGTATTTGTAGCTTGTTTGATTTCGACATGTGTTGGTAGCCTGTTGACTTACACGTAATCTACCGATGAAAAAATACTTGATACAAGAGGATATATGTGTGTACAATGGACTACAAAAGCACAGCCCATAGCGACATCTACTAATTGCCAAAACGAGCAGAAGCGAGCCGCGTCGTTTCCCTCGCTTCTGTTTTTGTTTCCACGGAGTTCGTTCCCATGCGTCTGCTACACCCACCTCATTGAAGAACACCATTTATTATCAGGTGCATGTATAAAAACGTATTTTATTTCCGCCAGTGCTTTGAGATCTCTGTCTCAGAGATCGGATTGAGGACGTTCTAATTCGGATGTTTAACTGCCTACAAATAACTATTTCTAATACAACGCGCAATATCTCCTAGAGAGAGTCCTCCCTAAAATCCACAAGAACACACTGTGACTGTTTATGCTTTGTTCACAGAGAGGTCTGGGGTTCCTATTCAAGAAAATTGAACCATTTTTTCCCGGGACAGGCTCCATGTTCACATATTTATCATTGTATCGCATCTCTTGATAGCTTGTAGGACACGTTACAAGTGATATCCCTCCGAATGTTCACTTCCCATATAAGGTGGTCTAAACTCACATGTTTATATTACTCTAAAAACCCAATAGTATACACAAAAAGGAGTTTTCTTATACAACCGGGCAATCTGAGAAGAACACAACAGAAGCCATTAAAAGTGATTTTCAATCAGCCTTGATGCCAGTTACTTTTCATGACTGAATGATCACTATACTCCGAATGAAGGGATATGGTCTGCACATACATGTCTTTGTCAGAAGAAGGGAGCGCTACAAGAGAGCGTCGGTCATAAGAAACAGCGTTAGAACTTTGTTTATACTATGTAAAGCAATGCAACAACACTCAAGGACAGAACTACCCCTGTTCTCCGCTAATCATGACTCTTAAAGTCACAAAGTAAACAAATCTCTGAGATTCTTTATTGTGTCTGGTTGGGATAGCCTGCTTGAGAACGGGACCTGGTGGATTTACCGCTAAACACATGACACCCTCAGGGATTCAGTTCTAGAGAGCAGATTATGCGACTACAGTTATGAGAACTTAAAGGCTATACCAATATAGACTCCGATTTTTCCAGTTATGAGCAAAACCACAAAAACTTAGCTACTAAAAAGCTGTGGAGGATATGCGCTTTCAAATGGTCATAATTTATAATACTACAAATCGAGAGAGATGAGGATCGCGCCATCACGCAGTTAGACAATGAGAACAGTTGCCGAATCAATAAGTGGCAATAAATAAAAGCAATAAATAGAGATGTTCTGTACGGTGTCAGTTATCTACTAGATGCAATCTATAATTTATATAAGGTTATGGCATCTTTCTCCAACAGAGAAACGGATTCCTGATTCATATAGATATATTAAATTTTTCTGCTTCAACAGCCTCCTTTTTTCCTCTTTGCTATCGTTAAAACTGATCAATCTCCAAATACTGTACGGGACGAAGAATAAAGAAAGCATGTCGTTCTGCTGCAGACATTATGTTTATGTTTAATCTTTTGTCACATTTTTGCGGTTTTCTTGTGAGAGATACCTGGACATTTTATACTAGCCAAATTAGCGAGGAAAGTCCGATCTGATGAAGTCAAACATAGAGAGCAGCCATATTTATTTAAGGATGTAACCTTCTTGGCGTTCTCTCTATATATCCACTCTTGTGTTATTTTAAACAGACCTATTTGGAAGCCTTACAAAATATAGCAATCTGATTTTCGTGCGTCTTGTTGCATAGAATTCCATCAGAATTCAACACGAAAAACAACTTTCGGGTGAACATAGACCGATCCAGACGGAAGTATTTGTCCTGTAACCCCGCACTACAAGTCACACCGATCTTGGCCTTGAGAGTCCAGCCCAGCTCCAACCCGCCAGGTGTTGCTTGAGTCCGCCCTTGTGGCTGCTGCAGCTGGGAGAGTAGCTGGCGGACCTGCGGCTGGAAGGGGCTTTTAATGCAAGCCTAACCACACCTCCTTTCCTGCATAGCTTCTGCTATAGTCTACAAAAAAGAAACACATACCAGATGTACCT